TATTTATATACATAGGTAGTAATTTAACACTGTTTCATTGATATGTTTACAATTTTAGAGCAGTTTGAAAACCTACCAATGCCCCAGTCATTATAATAAAATCAATTCTAAATACTTGTATATTTTGGCATTTGATTTGGGTTTTTTTTACCATGGAAAATCAGAGCTCCCCATATCCCCTTCACCCACTCAGATGCATGTCCAGCTGCAGCTGTCCCCCACTGCTGCTTTGTGGTCAGCAGCCCTGATATGCTGGTGCCCTGCCCATGACGTTGCCCCTCCCAACCCACAGCCCCCTGGCCCTGCCACTGGCCCTTGCTTCCAACCCACAGTCCCCTGCCTTCTCCCCTGGGCCCTGCTGGTACCCCTTGCTCCCAACCTGCAGCCCCTTTGGCCATGCCACTGCCCCACACTCCCAACCCACCACCCTCCCCAGTGCTGACAGTGCCCCTCACTCTTGATTTGCAGTCCTCTGGCTCTGCCAGCTGCCCCTGCCCCACCCAGGCCAGAGCACAGTGGCTGTGGTGGCTCCAGCTCATGAGGGCAGCAGCAGAGTGAATCCAGCCCTGGCACAGACTGGAGGGAGGAGCAAGGAAGGCTTGTGACACCCCCACCCTGGGCAGGGGCTCCTGCACCATGTTAGGCAGTCTGGCCACAACCCCTCCTGGGCACCATCTGTTGGCCGCCCCAGCCCTGGTGGCACCAGTCCAACCATGCAGCTCTCTGCCACCCTGAAAGGGTCTCCCTGCCCCCTTCTCCTGCTGAGGGGGCAGACACCTGCCCTGCCCCAACTCCAGTGCCCAGACATTCCCCCGGTGCCAACAGACACGTGCCCCCCACACACACACGCACCCATCACCACACACCCCTGCCACACACACTTATATTCTCACATGCCGCCTGACCCCAGACAGTCTCCAATCCCCATCTCCCATGGACTTACCTGCATGCAGCTGCCAGGTCTGCTCCCATCACCCTGTCTAGCTGCAAGCGTATGCGCCCACACATGGTGCCCCCTGCCTCAGTTGCCTTCCCCTCAGCCCCAAGCAGCTCCTTGCAAGCTAGAAGGATGCCAGCCTGCAAAGGGAAACCCGTGGTTTCCTATGGGTTTCTCCTTTGAAGAGGAAAATCTGTACTTTTCTCCCTCAAAGGAGAAAATCCGCATTTTTCCATAGTAAACGGAAAGCCCAGATTCCTGATCATCAGTATACTGGAGCTTGTTGATTGACGTCAAAGTAGTCTCGGTTTTGCCTTATAGTTGATTGAGATTAAGCAGCTTGCCATCCATTTGGTAGTTTAGCTCCATTCTAGCTGGAAGCTTGTTGGTGGTCAGATGTAACATCATGGTAAAGAATATTGAGAAGAGTGTTGGAACTATGATGAAGCCTTGTATGACTCGCATTTTAACCTTTAAAAGATCGGTGATAGATCTGTTATTGAGAACTGCTGCTCACATACAGTCATGAAGCAGGCAAAGAATGGTGATGAATTTTGATGGGCACCCATATTTCAGAAGGATTCCTCCGCAGCGCTTCTCGGTTAATGGAGTTGAAGGCTTTCCTGAAGTCAAAGGAGGCTGTGTGGAGAGGTTTATATTTTTCTTGACATTTTTCCTGCAGCTGGTGAGCATGAAGATCCTGTCAGTTGTATCTCTTGATGCACTAAACCCACACTGAGATTCCAGGAGCAGCTTTTCTGCAAGTGGAAAGAAACCATGTAGGAGGGTTCTCACAATGATCTTTCCTGCGGTGGACAGCAAGACAATCCCTCTGTAATTTCCACAGTCAGACTTATCTCCTTTCTTGAAGGTTGTCATGATCATGGTGTCCCTGAGGCCACCTAGGTTTTCCTTATCATTCCAGATCTTTAAGATGAGGGCCTGGAGCCATGATGTGAGTTCCTCTCCCCCCGCTTGAAGATTTCGGCAGGGATTCCATTTGTTTAAGATGCCTTGTCATTCTTCATCTGCTTGATGGATTTCCTCACCTCAGCAAGGGTGTGAGACCCTTCAGACTTGGGCAATGAAATCGCCAAGAAGAATGAGTCCATCTCCCACAGCAACTCCAGAAAGGACTTAGTCAAGGTTGATGGAGAATTTCTCCTTGGTTTTATTGGTGGCCTCACCAGTCAGGGTATATATGCTGACAACAGTGCCAAACTGGCTCCCTGCTAGTTTAAGACAGAGAGTCATGAGGCACTCATTAATTCTGATAGGGAATTTGCTGAGTTGGTTTACAAGTTCATTTTTAATGGCAAAACCAACTCTGTGAAGCCAGCATTCTCCTTCCATTGTTTCATAGTTTCATAGTAGGTAGGGTCAGAAGGCACCTGAGTAGATCATCAAGTCCGACCCCCTGCCAAGTCCCATTTACCCTTTCAGAAGAAGTTGGTCTTTGAGTTGCCGATCTGCCACTCGCCTGATCTTGCCCAGTGCAGCAACATCAGTGTCGCATTGCCTGAGTTCTTGAGCCACGACTGCAGTGCAGTGCTCTGGGCATTCACTGTTAGGATTGCCCATGAGGGTCCTGATGTTCTGGGTCCCAAAATTAGTTTTGTGTCTTCATTGATTTTGGCTGCAGTAATGATGATCTCACTGGCTGCAGTTATCTAGTCAGGAAAAAGGCAGTCAGACTACGTTTAGGATACCTTTTTCTATCCCCCTCCACATGCGGGATGAGCAGAGTGGAAGAGGGCTGCTCAGTTGCAGTTATAGCTGCTAAATCACACTCCTAGCTTGAAGTGCTAGACAGCCTTCTTGTAACTGCCACCTTCATGTCAGTTCATGAGTATGATCCTCTAACATTTTCTTCCACCTGCTCCACCACTGAGAACTCGTAGACCCATGGCTGGTGGCTGGGCAGGTTTATTGTAATGGTGACCTATACTGGCATGTCACAGCACCATCAAAGGATATATGTTGCTTTTCACGGGGGACAGCAACTATCTGCTGCCCCCACCACATCCTGGTGGTGCTGCTGCTGCTTGGACCACAGCTGCTTATTTGTCAGAGTTACCCCTACTTATTTTGCAGCTAAACTCCCCTGAAGGTCATTCCACCATTCACCACCTGTGGATGTGCTGGGTAGCAGTACAACTCTGCCGCCAAAAGGGAAAGCATGCAGGAGATGGAAAAATGGGCAGGTCACCAAGGAACCATCTCGGGGAAATATCAAGAACTTGTAGGGACAAAGTCAGAAAGGCAAAGATAAAGAATGAGCTTCAGCTGATGGAAAGTTAAAGACAACAAGAAGAGAGTCTATGAACATTTTGGCCAGAATAATTTCCCAAGCAGGAAGCAGCTGTGACCATCTGAAACCTGAGATCCTGCTCCTGCCTTTGTTTCAGAATAATTTGTATAATTGCAGAAATTCACAGGAGTTGAGACACTCCATACCAGCTATGAACTGCCTTCCTAGAGGAGTTTTCCATTTATTGACTCCTCTGTGAAATCCTATGAAATACGAACTTTCATTTCTACCCAGGAGAACTTTTACAATCTTTTCTCCATTGCCTGATGGAAGGGTGTTTGTCCCCAAAAGCTTGCAATTAAAGATATATATTTTTTTAAATCTTGTTGGTCTAATAAAAGATATAATCTCTACTATGAGTCCTGATTGCTTTTCCCTCCAGACCAATATGGCTACAACCTGGATACCTAAGAGATCTGAGTACATTTAACTAGAAGAAAAGGCGATTATGGGAGGTCATGATATCAGTCTTTGAATAATCTGAAGGTCTGCTTTAAAGAAGAGGAAGAACAACCTTTTCTTCTTTGCTACAGAGTGGGATGCATAACAATGGCTTAAAATTGCAGCAAAGCAACTTTAGTTAGATTGGGTACTCAGAAAAAATTCTCCACTGTTTGGAGCAGTGAGGCAGTAGAATAAACTGTCTAGGGAAACTGTGGAATCTCCTTCTTTGGAGGTTTTCAAGATCTCCTTTGGAGGCATTCGTCAAAGATGATTTAGGATTAGCAATGCCTAAAGTACACTATGAAGAGCAGCAGTTGGAAGCCCAGGAGCATTACTCTCCAGCCACACATCTCAGATCATGAGAAGAGCTCTGCAGCCCAGAGCAGGTAGAAATTGGAAAGAATTATGCTGAACATCAAGAGAATGGAGAAAAGTTGCACAACTAACTGTTGAAAGAAGATTAAAGGATCTGGAGTAAGTGTACAGAGGGGACAGGATTGTAGAAAGCAGAGTACTGACTCTCCAGTCAGTGTATGAGATGTGTTTTTGCATTCTCCTGGTTGCAATGCAGAGTGGATGCTGTTTGGTTTTCCCATGTTTCTGGCTTTGCTGTTTAGCACGTGGGGCTGAGAAGGAATTTTCCCCCCTCCTGTTACTACAGGTGCCAGGGTGTTTTTACCTTGGGTGTTGGCTGCACCCAAGGCTGGGGATCTTAACTGGGGTTTGCTGATGCTCTGACTGGGACTGAAAAACCCAGGGGGTCTTGCTTCTCTGCCCAGGGTCAGACTGATCTCTACATTTGGAATCGGGAAGTAATTTTACCTTATGGTCAGGTTGGTATGCACTGTAATCTTTTTGCTTTTCACTTTTTGCTTTTTTTTTGCTTTTCATTTTTTGCTTTTTTTATAGCAGGGAGTCATAGTCCTCTTCCCTGGAACCCTTGAATGTATATTAACAAACTACTTCCTTTCCTTGCAGTGGCAAGGCATAGAAAATGTTATCCCCCTGTCATACCTGTGGCAAGTTTAGGTTTTTTATGTTTTGGGGTATTGTGCCTGGTAGTTGTGCAAGAGGGTTGTTCATGAAGTTTAAAAAATAGGTTAGACAAACAACTTATCTAGGATAGTTTAGATAAGAATGGTCCAGCCTTGTTCAGGGGGTTAACCCTATTAGACAGTGCTATAAATCTACTGTTTTAAAAAATTGTATTTTTAATCTTAAATCTTTTCGTTATTACTACTTCTTTGTGCTAGGTGTCTAGCTGTTGCAAGTTGCTTTTTGTTAAACTCTTCTAAAATTTTTCTTCAGGGATGCTGAAGATAAGCATAAGCTTATAACAAAGACTGAGGCAAAACAGGAGTACCTTTTGAAAGACTGTGATTTGGACAAAAGAGAACCAGCACTCAGATTTATTTTGAA